AGCCCTGCGGCATGACGAGCCACTCCCAAAGCATGCCGCTTGGAGTGCTTACCGCGGTGAGCGGGATGTCACTCTCCCGCATTAGGATTTGGTAGTATCCGTCTACCAAATCCAGCGCACTGTACAGTACGCTCCCGGTCATGCTGTTTAACAACACATCCTTTCGTGGGATTAGAGTTTGGGTTGGCACCGTTGCGCTGTTCAACTTGTTATAAGCGTGAGCCAGACGCCACTTTCCGTTCGGCTTCCGAAAGCAGAAAGGCAGCGTCGAGTGCGGGGATTTCGACTCCCGCACCATGCCTGCCTTCGCTTTCGCGGCGAAGAAGGCACCAATGACCTCGCACTGTTCGCGCGGGAGAGGCCATTGCCTCGTGACACAATACTTTGTGCCGTACGACTCGATCCGGTGGGAGTTGGGTCGGTGGGTGTTTGTTCACGACGTCCGCATACTCCGTCACCAAAGGATACACTGGCTCCTTGGGGTTCTTAAAGATCTCAGAACCCAAGCGCGTCTGACGCTGCTTGTTTAGGTCTTCCAGGACGTTCTCGTCCGAGACCGAGGAGGAGTTCAGCTCCTCTCGAGTGATCTCAGGTTTCATGAGCACCATCTCAGCAATCTCTCCAGCTTTGGGTTGGTTAGAAAAGACTCAGCCGTCATTTCCTCGAGGTTCAGTATCTCTGCCACCTCTGGCAACGGTTCCAAGTGGACACCAGATGCCTTGACGGGTACACCGGTCTCGCCATCGAAGATGTGATAGCACGCTTCCACCGGCCTTGTCAAAGGAGCCCGAGCCCTGGACTCCGAGTCGCTTGAAGCGACGTCGATCTGAACGAAGTTCGGATCCGACTTGAGGCGGCGGCGGCGTCGTTGACGACGGCGACCGTGACGTGGAGCTTTGCTGCCCACGTCTAGGGATGTCGGCGCTACGGCATCCGAGGCACTCGTGGCCTCGTGTGGCACTGTGCTACCCACACAGGAAGCGTATCCGACGTCTTCCTCTTCAGTTAAGGTCTGGGCGACCGCGTGTGGCACTGTGTTACCCACTCTGAACACGCTGTTCTCAGTGTTCGTGACAGCTGCAGCTGTCGCGAAACTAAGTTACCCGCCTGTGGACCTAAGTTACCCACCTGGTCAGCGCCTCTTCTGGGCGCCGCCACCATCAAAACATCCTCGGAGTCGTCATATACGTCGACGACTCCCAAGCATCTGCCGGATGCTTTGGTACCCTGGTAGCCCTTGCGGGCGCCCCGGGTCCTGACAGAGGTGGGAACATGACTCACCAACGCTCTGTCGGACTGCGCAGGGCGGCTGGCACCGATTGCCTTGCCTCGCCAGTCAAACCAGGGCTCGTGATTCTCAAGCCAGGGCATGCCCAGGATCATATCATATGGATCCATATCGAGAACAGTGAGCTGTTCGAGGCTGTCAAAGTCTTCAAACTTGACGGCCAGATCCACTTGGACGTTGAGGACAGTGACGACCTTCCCGTCGGCCAGTCGCACTGACACCGTCCCGTTGCCCTTGCATTCTCTCAAATCATCGAGCAACTTGTTGCTGTTGCGAGCAACCGTCTGGCGGCGTGCGAAATTCTTCGACGCCCCAGAATCGATCAAGATTCGAAATGGATGATCGTATCCCCGTACACATCCGTGTACTACGAGCAACCCGCCGCTGCTCTTCGCCGATTCGAGAGTGCGAAGACTCTCAGGGGCTAAGTCCCCGTGGTACGCGCCACCCGCGCACCCATCACGAAGACTTAGTTCTTCCCCGTCGACTCGCGACATGACGGTGAAAAGAACTGGGTCCATTCGAGTGAAAAATAGGTGTTCTGACTTAACAAATCTTCCCTTAATGGGTTCTGTTTTATTCAATGAGAGCAAAATGCTCAGCTGCTTTCAGTCCTGCACCCCGTTTTCGTGCCCTTGCTTGACCCTTTTATAAACTTCCGGATATGATGATTCTAGTTCCAAATGTAACTTAATTTGAATGCTAAAATCAGGTTTATTTGCAAACCTATTTGGTCCACCCCCGCAAAAAGGGGGGCAGTGCTGTAATGCCGTCCGAGCAACACCTTTTCAGAGTTCGTGAACGAAACATGCTGATTTAATGCCGTCATGCTGTTATTTCTTCTTCGTCGCTGCCATTAGACGAAGATGGTTTGTCACCAGCCATAATGTCGGTAGCCTCAACAATCAAGGCGAAAATGGACCGAAATCCACTTGCGGATCCAGACTGCATCGATTTACACCAAAGAATTGTGTGGCTTCATAATTCACAAACGATTCACAGCACCTCGCACTTAGTGGAGTTTCCCACGACCTTTGGCAATATCTTTTTTCTACGGAAAAGATACGCTGGCGGCTCAAATGAGTGGCAAGGAATCCGACGCAGTGCTCGCTTTCCTGTTGGGCTCAATGTCGTCGCTGGATGCACCCGAGCACGGCAATACTGTATCGAGAGATGAGGTCGAGGGTGTAGACGACCTCCCACCTCGGGAGCCCGTGTCCGACAGCGACGTCGAACCTCACACAGCCGTCAGTGCAACAGCGGACGCCAGTAGCAGCAGCGATTTAGACACTATCACATCCGAGGTGACCTCGTGCGAGTCGGAGGATGATGGCAATTCGGCAGACACTCCGCATCCGGAGGCAATCGAGCAGGAGATTTGCATGAAAGATCCGGAATCGAAAAACAGCATGAAAGGCAAGAACGCTCACATCGCCGAGGCGGAGCACGAGGACGACTGCGCTGATCCGAATGTAGATCCAGACGATGGCGTGCAACAAGAAGATAAAAGACCGCCGAAGAGGGAAAAGAAGAGCTCAAAGGCTGTGGTTAAGGGACGTCCAGAGTCGACAGGAAATCGAGCGGTGGCAAAGAGCAAGGGGCGTTTGACGGAGACCAAGAAGAAGCGAAATAATAATGGTGTTCCCACCCAGCAAGAGCTTCTGTTTGTGGGGGGAGTTGCCACGGTGTTAGTTGCGTACCTCCTTGCGTGTGTGTACAGCTTCTTTCACCCTGTAGTGTTCCCCTTACCGAACTACGAGGAACTGTTCTCGGCGTACGATATCTCGAATGTTTCCGTGCACATTGTGAACCCCGTGGGAAACTCATCAATCACGCCACAAGGTGTTTCATTTGAGTGGGAACTTGCCAACTTTCCCACTGAAGCTCTGCATTTGTATGGCGCCGAGGTTTTTCGATACGAATTATTTTTGGACGACGAGGTTTTCACGTCGGAAATAGGGTTT